CCATTGTAAGTCCTCTGGGCGATATCAGAGGCCCTTTGAACGCGCCCCCAGCGGAAAATGGCAACTGCGACGTGCAGAACGGCCCTGTAGAAGATTTGCCTCCAGGCTGGGAGGAGCGACGGGCCTCCAATGGACGGCCTTACTTTGTAAATCACGTCACCAAGTCGACCCAGTGGATCCGACCGCAGCTGAACGGAAAAGTGGTGGCTGTAAATAGGTTCCGATCGGGCCATAATCATGAAGCTAATGGGAATGTGAATAATAACGAGATTATGTAAGGGCCATCATGCCGTCTTCTAGTGACTTCATGTATCAAGTGGTAGATTTTACAGGATTGATGCGGAACCAGTGAATAATAATAACCAGATTGAGATGTCCCAACCTCTAACGCCTGGGTCCAGCGCTTCTTTGGGGTCCCCAATGGTTAGTCCCCAGCATAACGAATCCAGGCAGGCTGCAGTGAATGTTGCAGTCACTGCATCTCCTTCCGAATCAAGAGCACTGCTTTTAACCGCTTTGCCGGGCACTGCAAGTGAACCTAGTCATGTTAGTGGCAGCCCGGTTGCATCTGCTAGTTCCACTACAGGTAAGTGCTAGGATTTGTCTATTGATTGCTCTAAATTTGCGCCAAACCGCAGGTCCCAGTGCAAGCGTGAGCAGCAGTGTTGGGCCGCAGACAAACGGGCAAAGTCCTCAAAGGATGCCCACGAACAGAGAGAGGAGGGTTCGGGCTATAGAGGAAAAGCGCGATGGAAGCAGCAGACGTAGAGGAGGTCGCAATCGCAATTCAGTATTAGCGGCTCAAGCGGCTGCTCAAGTTGCAGCTGCTGTGGGTCAGTCAGCGGCCAATGGGAACGTTAGTGGATCGAAGCTCGACTTACCGGCGGGATTTGGTACATAGAACACATTTCAACATTGGCAAGCTTGTGATTAAAAACGATTGCCTTTTAACTTAGAACTGCGCACTACGCAGCAAGGCCAGGTTTACTTCTATCATATCCCAACGGGAGTTTCTACGTGGCATGATCCGAGAATACCCAAAGACTTGACGCCCTTAAGCCTAGCTTTGGACCACTTGGGGCCTTTACCCTCAGGCTGGGAAATGCGGCAAACCACTTCAGGCAGAGTGAGCATTTTTGGCTGAATTGTCCAACATTTGTGGAAACTAACTAATCTGTCTCGATAGATTTACTTTGTCGATCACAATAGCCGCACGACGCAATTTACGGATCCCCGCCTAAACTCGCAAATTCTGAATAACATTCTTAAGAGAGTGACACCACAAGCTGTTCAGCACAACGGCCAGCCGCCAGTCAGCACTGCCACAGTCCCGTTAAGCGTTAGCACGGCCACAACTACAACAGCGCCAGCTTCTGCTAGTGTTGTTAACAATGTAGTGGCTGCGGCGCCCCAGAATGCCGCCCCGGTCTCTCCCAGGCCCCGCGTTTATGAGGATTTGCCTCAGGTAAGTCCGATTTGTGTTAAAACCTGCCAGGTTGCTGATTTACGATTTCCATTTCAGGGCCTGCTGAGTGAAAGTGAGCATTTACCGAAGTACCGAAGAGATTTGGTCGCGAAGCTCAAGGTGCTGAGAGCTGAGTTGACGGCACTGCAGCCACAAAGCGGCCATTGTCGACTAGAGGTGTCCAGGACTGAAGTATTTGAAGAGAGTTACAGGTAATTGGGCTATTCTAGATTTCGCTTCTGATTCTGACTGCCTTTTCAACTAAATTGCAGACTTATAATGAAAATGCGACCAAAAGACATGCGTAAGCGACTAATGGTTAAGTTCCGTGGCGAGGAAGGCTTGGACTATGGGGGAATCGCCCGCGAGTGGCTCCACTTGCTTTCCAGGGAAATGTTGAATCCCCAATACGGGTTGTTTCAATACAGCCGGGACGATCACTACACGTTGCAAATCAATCCCGATTCCTCCGTCAATCCCGAGCATTTGTCCTACTTTCATTTCGTCGGGCGGATATTGGGGATAGCAGTGTTCCATAACCACCAACTGGAGGGCGGTTTTACGCTCCCCTTCTACAAACAGCTGCTGAACAAGCCAATTACACTGCAGGATATTGAGGGGGTCGACCCCGAGTTGCACAGAAGTCTCACTTGGATGCTGTAAGTGGTCGCACCGTTTCTGAATACGTCTTCGTACAATTAATTGGTCCTTGTTTAGCGAAAACAACATCGATGATGTTCTGGATACCTCTTTCTCCGTGGAGAATAACAGCTTTGGGGTGGTGAAAGTGCACGAACTGAAAACTGGAGGCTCCAGCATAACAGTCACCGAAGACAACAAAAGAGAGTATGTGAAGCTCTATGTGAATTACAGATTCATGAGGGGCATAGAGCAGCAGTTCCTGGCGCTCCAAAAAGGGTTCATCGAGCTCATTCCACCCGCCTCGTTGAGGCCTTTTGATGAAAGAGAGTTGGAATTGGTGATTAGTGGAATTGGTAAGGACTTTGTAACATTTTACTGCATCCGGATTGAAGATTAAGAACGTTTTTCTTTGATTTCTAGGGTCAATCGACATAGCTGATTGGCGCTCTCATACTAGAATGAAGCATTGCACTGCTGAAACGCCAGTTGTGCAATGGTTTTGGCAAGTGGTCGAGTCCTATTCAGAAGAGATGCGTGCTCGGTTGTTGCAGTTTGTCACTGGCAGCTCGCGAGTGCCGCTCCAAGGGTTTAAGGCCTTGCAAGGCAAGTAACTGACGGCTTTTACATAGTTTACGGCATTAAACCCGAACTTTGATTAATTCTAGGCAGTACCGGTGCAGCAGGCCCACGTCTTTTCACGATTCACTGTATTGAAGCTCCACCGCAGAACCTTCCGAAGGCCCACACCTGCTTTAACCGAATAGACATCCCGCCCTATGAGACGTACCAGGCGTTGTACGAAAAACTGACTCAAGCAGTTGAGGAAACTTGCGGCTTCGCCGTTGAATGATAGAAGCATTAAGGTAAGTAAGCATTTTTCACAAAAACATTCCTCGATCCGGTGGCAAGCGAATCAAGCGTTTTTGAGTTGAGTATTTCCCACCCCTGCGAACGTTATCTCAAAACTGTGCCTCTAGGTGATGTATGCTCAATCTGTTGAGCAGACACCTACCTTTCATCGCTTCAATGGGCCAACAGTAGTACGCTTTGAAGACTGCTAAGTGCCTTTAAGTCCACTATTGTAATCACCAAGTGCCTACTTGTTACTCAATTATAACACTGCAACGCTCAGCTTCAATTGAAGACGCTTTAGAAAGCAGACGTTTAGGGTCCCGAATTGTTCGTTGGTTGGTGAGAAATTCAATAATATTTGGACTTTGTTTCAACAATCAATCGAACACGATTCGGACATTTTCGCACCAGCATTGTGTTACTGAAGTAAAACTCAAGTTTAGTTTAGTCAGTTCAGCAGTTCACACTTTGTGTTAGATTAGAGGTTTATTTTTGTAGACTTCACTCACTGTGCACATAATTCCAAGGTACGTTTAAGTAATGTTTAATACTCAGTATAGTTTATTCTAAGGTCCTGTTTAAGATTAAGTACAAAAAAGATTGATTGAAGCACAATTGCAACCGATGCATATCAGATGAATGCTAGAAGCACTCACTATTTTAGGGTTGTACGCGAAATGGTCCGGTTATTTATGATTCATGTGTTTTTAACTGGAATACAATGGATATTTCAATCAAGAAAAGTATCGGTTTGTATTTCAAATCGATGTTAAAATAGTGTCATCGTTTTATCTTTCATTGAGCCTGAGACAGAAATTTATTAAAATTGGTGTAACTTTACTAGATCTATTGAAAAGCGGAATTGTGATTTATTTATAACTGTGTATATAATAGATGATGGGGATTTTCCGCCCTGTATTGTTATTGATTAGTTTAAATGTTTATCAGTTGAATTGTATATGAATATGAATATATTGCACAGGTGGCGTTGATAGGCGGATAATTTTTGTTATAAATAATATTTATGTTCAATATTGATGTTACGCGTAAAATAGCCTGTAAATATTTCCCTTTTTTAATCGCATTTTTTGTGAACCCATTATCTTACTATTATTATTATTATTATTTAGCCTTAAATTAAACTAATATATCGCATTTGTACATTTGTGTACAGTATTTTAACGGAATGTCACGAGAATTTGTTTTCTATCACGTTTTTATTTTTCATATTTTCTATTGATCTGATTGGTTTGTTTACGAAAAGCCAGAGATTGATTTATGAATGAATAAATACATATTGCTTTAACAGGACTGTACTTGCCACCACCTGTCAGATTCCATTCATATCCACTTCCTTTAGTTTAGATTATTCAAGCGGATTTTTCGTTGAGTGACGCACTTTATTTATGTATTTTGATTCCAAATCAAATGAATTCCTGGGATTCAGTCATTTATTGTCTATTTATCAATCAAAATACGTTTCGGTGTATTTTTCCACAATCATCAGTTTTTATGTGCAGCGTTGTTGCTGCTTTAAGCCATGCATTTGGACTATTAATTTTGTCCATTATCACGTAACAAAACGAATAAAATACTCAGTATTTTATTCGTTTTGTTTTATTATTGATCGAGACAATAAATGACTGAAACCCAGGAATGAATTTGATTTGGAATTGAAACACAGTCAGGAAATTATATACATTGGAGTTGATGACATTTGTAACGTAAAACAATACTTACACACTTTTCGATCTGTTTCTATTTCTTTAAAAGCTTGCAAAAGTTGATTAGAACCAAACCAAACAAATCACAATCAGATGTCAACAAAGCACGTGTCAAATTACTACTTAACTTTTAGTTGTAATTTTAGCCACCAGGGGGACGGCGTCTGGACTTTTGTTCTTATGTCATCAATAAGCAAGTCTGACAAGTCTCAACTGTCACTCGACGAGTAATTTGACGTTTCGCAGCGCCACCATCGGTAGTTGAACTGGCGACTTCGGAGACTTAAATATAATTGACGGAAGTACATACAACACAGTAGTTTGAAATCAATATTATTCACTATTTGACAAATTTACAGAAACATTAGGAAACTACCACTCTTTCATCGCTAGCTAATCGACAGTTACACTACTACGCCTTAGTTTACAAAGTAACAAATATAAATCTAATAAAACCATAAATAGGAGATTCTGATTTAACACATTCGGCAGGTCTGTGCATGCCTGCAATGACTTAGATTATTTTGATTTAAACCAGCATTCCACGCATCCTAGACCCGATATTGCTTTGTTCCTACAACTAAAAAGTGCATTTTTGGCTTGGACATTTCACTCGAGATCAAGTTCCGAAAACCGCATGTTAAACTCATCGAGGCAGCTTCGGCTAGTAGGGTCTCCACACATTGCTCGGGTCCTGGACAGCGTTCTCCTCCCTCGCACCCTCCTGCATGGAGGCGGTGACGCCATGCGCTGTTGCCACTTCGCGAACGGTAGTCGGAACCAGATCGACCCTCGGGATCTCCGAACTGACACTATCCGGCAGGAAATACTCGCTCCTGCTCACATCGCTGGCTGTGGGATGGAGATGGAAGTGGATCTGGTTCTGGTTCACTGTGGAAATGATCGCAGGATACACCACAGCAGGGCTGGGCGTGTTGAAGTGTTGCGCATTGTAGGCGGTGTTGTTGTAGTAGTTGTTATTGCAGGTCGTCGGGTGGTAGGGCGTGGTCCAACTGTTCGGGCAGTAGGGCGTGTCCTGGTAGCTCCTGCTGGTTATGGTCGACTCCAGCAGATCGGACTTGTGACCGATGAATGATGGGGGGGAGTTTCGCGTCAGCGATGTGTTGAGAAACTCTGTGGAGGTTGCATCTGAAAGAACTATAACAAAATTTAAAAAAATTTTTATTTGATTTATTGTAGGTAGAAAGAGCGTTGAAGATTAGCAGAAATTTGCCTGAATTGCACTGCAACTAGGATTTATTGTAGTTGTTTATAAATTCGAAGAAACATTCCTAATGACGTCATGATGATATAAATTTGTTGTGGAAAATGACAACGGCAACCATGCATCCATGTCATCCGACAGATGACGTGACAAACGGAATTTCAAATTTGCTTGACGTTTCAAGTTAAAAAGTGTAACAGTATCGAAAATCAATCGTTTACTTTCGGTGGGAAGACCCTGGCATCAAATCTTCAATATAATGGACCGGTTCGATGTGCATTTCACGCAAATTTTGAGAAAGTGAGACTGTTGCTGTTCTGTAGGTATTAGAATTTGCATTTTTATTAGGCCTCAATTGAGGAAATTGAATTATTTGATTTTGACGAGTAAAATGGCCCCTTTTCACTATTTGCCCCTGTTACCTCTGTTGATTCACGCGTAAGGCAACTGCTCTTAACATAATATGAATTTAAAAAATGTCTTGCATGGGCGAATAAGAAACTTTGTTGCCGGCTTTATACAAAATCTCTCAGTTTCTAGTGCATATTATTTCCTCCCCTGAGCGCAGCGCGATAATTTGTTCCCATTTTGTTAAATCTGGTATTCAATAGGAAATCGAAAAAGGTTGCAAAGTAGTGCCATACGCTTCAGGCCAAGGGCGGATCCAGGGGGGGTCATGGGGGTCATGACCCCCCACGCAAATCTAAAACTTCTTGCATTTTTTGAGAAAACTGCCAACATTACCTTATCGATGGTTCACTTTCCAAAAAGGCCATTTATTTCTCTCTAGAATGATGTGCAAATTAGCGTTCCTGCTCATTTTGCCTCCGAGAAATGATCAAAAACGGGACGGAAAACATGAAATTTTGCAATAATCTCGCGCCACTCTTGCACAAAACGACGATCATTTTTCTAATTTTATAAACAACAGAAGATTGTATTTTTCTACTTAACCCCCCCTTACTTTAAAGCTGGATCCGCCCCTGCTTCAGGCACGCCACTGGTTGGGGCGCAAGAAAAAATCACTTTTATACAGTGTAGATTGTTGTGCTCTTAACACTATCGGCAATTTTGTGCAATGAAAACATAAAATGGTTAATGTGCGGCCACAGTTTTAGTCATTGGTGATTAGGAACTAACTAACGCACCCCAAGACCAAATTCGATCGATGTTATAAACTTTACATCAAATAATAGTGAAAACTAGTTCAAACCTGTAGTTGGAATATGCATCGTTGAAACGTCTTGATGAGGAGTTTCGTAGCCCATTGAGGGACTGTAGGCACCGTAACTGCTACAATCCGACCATGAATTAGGCGTGTAATGAGGAGTGGCTGCACAGGCCCCATTCAGGTTGTCTGCAACAAATCATTTTTATGTTTTCTACGAATCACTTATCTTCTTGGACTTTGCTAGATCCACGCTTGTCTAGAATACAAACGCGAAATCTTCCTTGCAGTTTTCACTGCTTTAGCAACCGCGCTTGTTACGATTTTTCCAAGCCCCAAACATCGTAATCATCATTAGTATCATCTTGGACCGAGCCGGGAACAGTGATCGCCGCCACTGGCCGATTTGCTCGGAAAACACATCTTCAACATTAATGAAAGCGACCTTGGCAATTTCGCGAAAATACGACAATGGGGAAAAACGATGGTCAAAAACAAAACAAGCGCAGTGAAGTGCCAATAAACAATCTGCGGGAGTCCCCAAAATGGTGCGCAAGTTTCGCAACGATGAATAAATAATGTCTGCAGCATTTTGCCATCATTAACCAATTCAGGGTGGGCTCTTCTAGCCGACGGTGCGGGCCATTATTTCACCTAATCGGTGTCTTTTTCGGCATTAGGCAGACCTGGCAGATGACTAATTGGCCAGAAGACAGCCTGCGAAATGCGAAAAAATTGTGCCCACACACATGCACACATGTTATTAAAATGTGTCACATTTACGTTCAGAAGTTTGTACAGTTTGCTATGCGAGCGAACAGTTCTAGGAAAATCCCAACGAAATTGTTGCCACTCAACTCGACTTGGCCTCGTGCACTTCCCAACTTGGCTCACTTTGATTTCGTTCATTGATGAAAACCAGGAAAAATCGAGTTGAGCCGCAACATTCGCAATTCTAGCAGTGTGTTCGAAAGTGATTTAACGAATAGTCAAGAAAGTGAAAAGCATAGTCGGGCGTCGTCGAAACGAGAAAAACCATAATCGCGCGGTTAAAAACCAAACCAATCCCGGTGGTTATTTGGTTTGCGTATTTAGCAGTGAGGCCACAAAACGGGAGAGGAACAGCAATGAATGAACTTGTGGTCCCCATTGTACACACAAAACCAGAAAAAAAATCATCACGAATTAATTTAAATGCCACAATACATCTAGTTCGGTTTAATCGATCCTCTGTGGTCAGGCCGACCGAACGCCGAAGGAAAAAATCGCGAAGGATCGCACTTTGCGTCCGCATTTCGCACTGAAAATCATCTTTCTAATGCGAAGCAAATGGTGCACGATGGATGGTAAATCAGACGAGGGTGCATCAGTTTTACATCAAACATTATTCATTTATCTTTAGGCGTTAGGAATTTTGCATAGGTAGACCTAATTAAAAAATCTAGCATTCCAGATGCTCTTTCCAAAAAGTCTTGATCATTGTTTGGATATTTCCAACCGTCTCCGCAACAGAATCTCTTGAACTTGATAGTTGCCATTTTTGAGTCATTCGGCTATAAATCGCTAGTAGTTAATTGTTAATAATATTCATGATCTACTTGGAAGCTTGGCGCGAAATACTTTATTATTGCCGGACATCAATTAGTCTTTTATATTCATCGAATGGCGTGGACTTGGTAAATTCAGCGGAACCTGTAAAGTCCCCTGTTTGAACAATTGATAATTCTTGTGCAATTATCCTTTAAAGCTATTTTAAGACACTGTTTGCCTAGTTGGTCAAACAAGTTGTATTATTCACGTCAACTTTGCTCGGACTGAATGCGAAGCGAAAGTAACGCAATTATTGATAGGTTTGTGTGTTTTGAGGCAAATTGCAGCTTTTCAAAATGATTGCATAATCCCGATTAACCGATACGTCCTGAGCAGTTCGGCCCATTCAATGCGTCACACTTAATCCGAATCTCTTCGCATGGGACTTGTAATTATCAGGTGGACGAAGGGCGAATGATGATGATTGGACGATATTCTTCTTCCGACGTTCAAAAGAGCTTTACCGCTTTCGATTTGGGCAGGCTGTTAAGTAGTTTTCAAAAGATCGTGTATTTTACGCTTTCAGCCATTTAAACTGTGCGACCAGAGATGGGATCCAGTGAAAAGTGTGTAGTAAAAACGGCAAACCGTACCTTTAGATACGCATCAGTTCATCCGGGTAAAAAGCATCGCAGTGCTGGAAATGTTGAATCAAACAAAAAAAATCGAGAAGATTAAGGCCTGAAATTCAGAGAATTAATATAAGATTTTCTGGAT